TTTAAGAGCCTCATTGTTCCCAGATATCGAGGAAACTGCTTAAGTAAGCGATAACTCATCAAAACAATTTTAGCGCCTCCGGCATATCAGCGCATCTGACATTATTGACATTGTGCTGGAAGACAATATCTTGCCGAATTACAATGTTGTTTCAAAAATTGATTTTCCCTTTAAAGGACCTCGGAAGTAGGTTTCAAATAACGGGAATCGCTATTACATTGCATGATACAAAAAATTTAAATATAGATTAATTTACGAATCAGTCAATTGGTCAGTTTCAATGACCGCTTACGCTTTCACGTCGCGAAGGGGAATGTGTTAGTTATCATTTCCAACGCTCCTAATGCTGTGCCATTTAGAGGTGTTTAAGTGAAAATGATGTAGGAAGAAAAAAATTGTTTGAAGAATATGATGATAAAGAATTTGATTATCTAAAATTATCAGTTTATATGTTTGTGGCTCTAACAGACAAAGCGATGCACTGGCATTGTAAATGTTCTAATGCACGGAGCTTCGACTTTGAGCAATTGGGAGCAAGGGGCAGTGCTGTAAGATATGATATTTGATTTTCACAAAGTCATTCATTGTTTGTACTCTGCGTACAAACAATAAATGATTTTCATCCAAATATTCAAGAAATCATTTATTCCAAAAACACAGATTTTCGTCCTCTTTTTGGCACAACGTAATCACTTCTGTTGCCGTTAAACAATGGCGACACAAGAAACTTCCAAACTCTGTTCTACGGCTGTCGAGAACCCTGTCTCTGATTAGAGCCATTTTCTATTTGACATTCTTGAGGGTACTGACGTCGGCGAACTTTTCTGTATACTGTATTTTGAGATGCAAGCGGAGAAACGGTTTTGGTCGCTGATATTTTGGCAGGTGGATCTCGCTCTGCTGGGGTGTCACAGTCAGATATTTGCAAAGCAAAGACTCAGTTTGAGAGTATGATTATCTGACAAATTCAAAACACAGCAAAATGCTTAAATCACCAAGTTTACTGCTGGGAGAACAGCAGCTGGTAGGGGTAGATCCAATAAACAGCTTTTTCGATGTTTCACGGGTCACAAGCGCTCACTTCTAGTACGCCTGGATTAATTCAACACTGCATTTTCGCATGGCCG